TCGATAACTTTACTTGTAATAGTTCTCATAAGGTTTTTTAAGAAGAAAAGGCACATAAATCTTGTTTTCGGGAATGAATCCCTCCATCTGTCTTTCTCTCCAGGCCTATGGCGGGTCAGCCCGTTCTCATCCCAAGGCGTCACATACTGAAGCTTTTGACATTTCGTCTACATCCAAAGCACACGGCACCATTTAGCATCAATATGAGATGACATATATGGGCCAGAAGGCGCCTCCTAGTGGTCTAACCCTAACCCTACTCCAGAACTAAACCTACCCATAACCGAAGCGTGTTATATTGACGCTAACGGTCCCATGTGTGTTGGATTTAGACCTGTATATGACGCCCTAGGATGAGAACGCGTTGAGTGGGTTGCACTTTTATGGAAGTCGCTTAGAAATGAAATGCAGATTTGTGTCTCTCCTCTGCTGCCCGAAGCACGACAGCGACACTTCATTTCAACATAAATGTATTTGTAAGACCGTTTAAGGAATAAGGTATGGATTTTCTCAAGCATGTAGATGCAAAATGCAAAGTGGTGATTGTTCGATGGGTTTATTCAGGTAAATTGTTAAATGCATGCTCTAAAACATGAGAGGAGTCTTCTGCATTCTCCAAATTAGGTGACAAAAAAAGGCAGAATGCACGAGACCTCTTTGGTCCATTTAAGAAGGGAAGTGCGAACTTAATTTTGATGGATTATGCCAAAGCACATCCGTTAGCTTTCTGAGGGGTATCATCTATCTCTGTCAGTTTACATAACTTTGATGAACCCTTTAGTCAAACGCAGGTGACGCCTTACCAAAGAAAAAAATGCAGAAGGGAACCATCTATCATGAAAAAACCTGTTTTCATAAACATTTACTCGTCAACATATCGCTGCCATGAAACGAGAACATGTTTGCTGACGGCGATGGCAAATGTTCGGCTCTCTCGAGGATTGCTCTCTGAAATCAGTACGAGTCTTTTTTTCTACTATCTGTTCAGAGCATTAATGTTATGCAATAGTCTCTTTAAAAATGCATCAAACTTGCAATAGGTAACAGGCTGGTTTATGTCAATAAACTGGACCTTGATCGTCCACTTAGTCCCTGGATGCGCCACATATTAGGTCTTATTTTAATTAGTAAAATATTTTGTCTTCAACGCCTTCATTCAAGTTGATCTATATGTTAACTATTTTTAATTTACTTTTAAAGGTGGGGTAGGTAGAAATTTTCTAAAAAAAAACCAAACTTTTCCCCAATTTTTTTTTTGAACTGTCTATTATACAATACATAATTAAAATGTAAGCACTCTGAAAAAGAAAGTATTCAAATCGAGTGTCTGTAGTCCTCTCAGCGCTGAAATACACTATAAAACACTATAAACATTATTTCATTTCCTCCCGTCTGGGATCCTTACAAAGCCACGCCCCCAAAACACATGAACGCACGTTGCCGACCGTTTACCAACGCTGCGGAGAGGAGCAGTGTATGTAGTGACATCATGTCAGAATCACATAATAAAATGCCTTTATCATTATCAATATAAACCACTAACATGGCATGTGGGAGTACTTGGAATTATTCAGAACGAATGACAAGTACTTGCATTTGGAATGAATATAGAAAGTACTGCATGTTGCTTGCTCAATGTGCTAATATTTAAGATCATGGGCCCTATCTTGCACCCGGCGCAATCGACTTTGTGCACTTCAATGTCACTTCTCTTTCTTTTATGATCCTGACAAGAACATCCATCTCCTCGGCTGTGAACCAAAATGCGCCGTTATAATAGTATTGCGTCATGGAACAAGCGCTCTTAAAGGGAATGTAATATGACGCTCTTATTGGTTTGTTTCCTGTTACGCCCAAACCACACCTATGAAAAATGTATACAGGACAAGCTGTGCTTCACCTGTCTAAGAGTCGCCCTTTACACAGTCCCTCCAGGATTTCATGATTTTTTTGTGTAATTTTTGCGATCAAAATTACTGATTTTGTGGTGGTAATTTCCAAAAATTTGTGAAAAAATTTGCGATTTATATATAACATTTACCATAATAGTATTCAGTCCTTCCAGAAAAACGCGGAGTTTTTTTGTGATTGTTGCGGGCAAAAATTGATGGATTACGCGGTAAACTACTGGCAGCTGTGGTTGCCAGCATCATACCGTAAATTTATGCAATTTTATGCGATGAAATTGCAGGAATTTGCAAAAATTGAGGGAACTTGCAAAAATTGCAGTTTGATGAAAAAGAGAGAAAAAAGTGATTCCCCCAACATCCTGTTCTCACTAGGCTAATGTAAGAGTCATTTCTTATTACTTCCTTTGATAAGCAAGCATACTACATCATAGAAAGTGCTGGGAATATTTAATTTCTCATCTTGTTTTATTTCAGACTATAACGAGTGTAAATAAGGTGTGGCCCCTTTAAGAGCTGCGCGCTCCCTGTTGAACTCTCTGCAGTGTTATATGTGCGCATCGAACACCCCATGTGTGCGGGTAATTTCTGTTTGATGCTACTTCTTTTATCTTATGTTGTTTATTAAGTAACGATGTGACAGTAGAACGTGTGAGACAGTTATACGAGTTCGATTTGTGAGATGTCAATTGCCTCCGTGAGTCTGTCTGGCGTCGCGTAATTGCGTCACTTCATAACGTTCCCATGGAAACAGGGGGAAATGGCTGCTCTTGTGTGAAGCAAACGCAACATTTTTCAACTTTCTGCTAAGATACATGTGACTTTTTTTGCAACGAAAATGCGAGGATTATGAAATTATGCAAACCCCGCATATTTTGCACAGAAATCGGCAATTTATGCGGCGAAAGTGCGGCGTATTTAAAAAAATGCGGCCCCCGCATAAATATGCGGACTTTGACTGATTTTGCATTGAATTCAGCGATCGCAATCGCGTTTTTCTAGAGGGACTGTTTACAAGCACAGTCCCACGTCTGTCCTTCCCCATCATAGCTTATAGAGTTTGTCCCACCGAGGGAAAGAGCTGCTAAAGACCTCGCCACCTCACACACAGCAGGCAGGATTGAGAGTGATTCCAGCGGCCCCTAGAGATCCGCAGGAGTTTGAGGGGGAAGAGATTTCTGGGACACGGCAGTCCCCCACAGGGCCCTGTGCTCTACCCCGCAGCGGTGCACTCGCTCCCAGAGCTGTCACAATTACACACACTTATGCTGCCGATTCACCGTTTGATGCGCTCACTGTCCCCATGATCAAAATAAAAGGGCTTTTGTTAGCTTTTTTGTGAACTTCTAGAAAATAACCACCTTTTGTCAACATAATTAGAAAGCAAGAACAGTGCTTCAGAACACATCAGAATGAAAACGAAAGATGTATTTGAACAGTGTATAATGTAAATTATGAGTGAGTTTCTTTCCAAAAGTTCTTTCCAACTTACATTGAATTTTGTGATAGAATCTTGATCATTTTAAAGGTCAAATGTGTCATTTCAGTGGCACAAAGAATTGTATCTCCGTCTTCCATCGGTTGGACAAACACGTATTCCTAACCAGATTATAATTGTAGTATTTTTCATCAACATAATTTTTAAATTAAGTGTAGATATTCTTAAACAGTTCAAAAGTTTGGGATCTGCACATTTTTTTAATGTTTTTGAAAAAAAAGTCTATTCTCACCAAGGCTGCATTTATTTAATCAAAAATACAGTACAAACAGTAAAATAGTGAAAAATAAAATAACTGTTTTCTATAATAATATATTTTAGAATGCAATTTATTCCTTTGAATTTTCAGTATATTAACTATATATTTATATATATATATATTTATATATATATATATATATATATATATATAGAGAGAGAGAGAGAGAGAGAGAGAGAGAGTAACATGATGATTTGTTGCTCAAGAAACATTATATATATATATATATATATATATAATGTAAATATATATAAAAATTAATTGCGATTAATCACATCCAAAATAAAAGTCTGTGTTTACATAATATATTTGTGTGTGCTGTATATAATTATTTTGTATATATAAATACACACACATGCATGTGTATATTTAAGAAAATGTGTTATTCATATATAAAATATTTATATTTATATAATATTGATTATGTATTTATAAATATATACAGAATTTAAGCGCAAATAATTCTTAAATATATACATGCATGCATAGGTATTTATATATACAAAATAATTATATACAGCACACACAAATATATAATGTAAACACAGACTTTTATTTTGGATGCGATTAATCACAATTAACTTTTGCACAGCCATAATATAAATACTACAATTATAATCTGGTTAGGAATACGTGTTTGTCCAACCAATGGAAGACGGAGATACAATTTGTGCCACTGAAATGACACATTTGACCTTTAAAATGATCAAGATTATATCACAAATTTTTTTTAGAATCAATGCAAGTTGGAAAGAACTTTTGGAAAGAAACTCACTCATAATTTACAGTATATACTCTTCAAATACATATTTCCTTATCATTCTGATATGTTCTGAAGCACTGTCCTTGCTTTCTAATTATTTTGAGAAAAGGTGATTATTTTCTAGAAGTGCACAAAAAAGCTAACAAAAGCCATTGATATTTATGTATGTATGTGTGTATATATATATAGTTAAATCATCCAAGGTGCTGGACATAGTAAAAGTGCACGATAAAAGATACTGTATAAAAAGGCATAACAAAAGTAGTCCATAAGCCTCGAGCATTACAAATATTCTGTAATTACAAGTACTGTATGAAACATTAAAATCTCATTCGAGACAAAACATTTAAATATGTCAGGACGCTCTGAGCCAGGTTTGATCTCAGTGTTCTCATGTGTCTTGTGACCCATTGACATGAATGACATGATGTCAAGGGGTCTATTATGACAGAACCATTCTTTACCCTTCAGAAAGACCGTTTAGTCAAGATGGGAAATGAGAAAACATCTTTCTATCTTTCAGATTTCAGCTCAAAGCCTCGATGATGGAGGATTATTACTGTGAGATCTTACCTTGAGCATCACGACGCTCCACAGATTTCAGCGCAGTCCACGTGCTCCATCTAACTGCAACCTTCTGGCACGAGCTGAGCGTCCCAATGAGGTGAGGACACACACTTCAGCTGGTGTAAACCTTTAAAAGAGCAGACACTCGATTACAAAGCTCATCCCAAAACAGGCAGGTTGTAATCGTTATAAATCAGACTAATGCAATCGTCTGCTGAGACTGGAGGACTGCCAAATTGACATAAATTAAGAAACAGATTCACTTTTATTCTTTACTGCCAGTGTGACCAAAGTTAACATATGTGGTTAAAGAGCATTTTAGAGCTCATGAGCAAGTGCACTAATTTTCAATCGCGGCACTGTAGGTCTTTCATCTTTGAGCTCTTGCAAAGGTCACAACAGCAATTCATTTGTTTTTCTACAGACTAGCGATGTGCAAAGCTGTATTTTTATTTCATTTTTTTCAGATACATGAAAGACAGAAACAAAGGCGGCTTTTCTGTATACATCGAGGATAATCACTTTATAATCAACGTGCTTTGTCTTTCATTGGTCTGTTGCAGTGGACTAATTAACTACCTCTTGTTAAACTTAAACATTGCCTTTTAGCAACCTGTCAGTATGCGGCTAACTTCCATTTCAGGAGCGCAGAAACTGCTGGCATGGAAAAACATTCAATTAATATTACAAACTAAAGAGAGAAAAAAGTCATTTTTTCACATGCAAGGCACTAAAAAAATGTTTGCACCAAGCAATTGCTTTTTTTCTAATGTTTTATTTTGTATTGCATGTGATTAATTGCTACTGACGGTCAAAATTTAGCATTTTGCTGCTACAAGGTAAATTATGCCATCCCAAATAAAGTGTCAGTAATGCATGACTTCATACAGTATACTGCAGTTTGTATAAAATGCATTATAATCAGCGTTGGGGGTAGTATGCATTATAATCTTAGCTATGTAATCAGATTACTTTTTTCAAGTAACTAGAAAAGTAACACATTACTTAAAACTTTCATGCGTAATTGAAAAAATTATGTGGACTTACATTTTTTCAATTATGCATTAAGTTTATTTGCTTAATTTTAAGACAAAGGGTGTCCTCACTTTTTTTTTTAGGTAAGTCATCTGATCACTTTCTACAGTGCAGACGAAAAAAAGTAATGCAATATTGTAACTAATATTGAGCAACTTTCCCCAACACAGCATAATAGTACAGTTTTTACTATATTTTTGATCAAATGAATGCAGTCTTGTTGGGATTTTCAAAAATATAAACAAATCTTACAGACCCCAAACTGACCCCAGTGGTGTATAGACCCCTTTTCAGTTGGAAAACATGGTGACGTTTTTTTTGTAGGCGGAGCTTAGGTGGAGGCAGAACGATCCCTCTGGCCGCTTCACTAACGCTAGTTAGCAAGTATTGTTAGCTTGTTTTTTAACAATGACTGGATATATTTATCTTAAATGTGCAAGGTCACTCAGTGCCCAGGACCGCGATTGTTATTTCCAAAAGTTATTTTTAACGGACGGAACCAGATTGGCCGACCCAACACGCTCACTCAATGCATGGACGATCTGACAGGATTAACGTTACGTTACCTCGGTTGAGTGGTCTGACTTCTACACCTACCTTATCGAGAAAACGATCGTAAAGAGAAACTGAGGACATATAAATCTTTAGATGCCTATATGGTCCTGTACAAGACTGGTGTGTACGATTCGCAGTTCTGCCGAACCAGCGCTGAGACGACGACAATATAAAGAGTGTCATTACGGTGCGATTTTAATGATGTGAATATTTTCTAGAAATAAAAATTCCAGATACAACATATTCATTTTTCATCAATTCTTGCACCAAACAACACAACAAGATGACATTTAATTATAGTAACAATAATTTAAGCTTATTATGAAGCCGAATCTGTGCTGGTTTGTATTGGCCGCCACTTTGTTTTGCCTCCAGCTAGCACCGTGACGCAACCGTGACGTCGGCGCAAAAGGGGTCTATAAACAAGTATAAAATAATCCTTACATTGAATTTAAAATGCACTGATATACTGTGCAGGAATACATGTTTGTCAAGCCAATAGCAGATGCAAATGCTGTGCGGTTAGTTGAACAACGTTTTGTTTTGTAATGCATGTGATTAAGTGCTTGATTCTGCTGCTACATTATCAAGGTCAATATATTGCCGTCCCAAATAAATAGCGTCAGTGATGTACGGCTTTGTGCAGTTTGTATCAACTGCACTTGTGCATAATGCATCACATTATGAACAAGATTCTCAATGCACGAATCAAACTCGCATAGAAATCACCTGCTGTCATTGAAAACTAATGACTTGGCTATCAAAGTCAATGTCAGTGTCAACAGGGGCTTGGTGCTGTTATGAAAATAGAAATATTGCCATGTTTTTTTAAACTCATTGCAGACTCGAGTTCTACCTCAGTGGTTTGTGTACGGCTGCCAGTCATACCAACTACATTCCAAGCGATGCTTTACAAATGTGCCGTATGTTGACAGATGCGTCTTATCTGCAGATGAATTTATACAGATGCCGGATCTCGGTGTCGATATTCTACACCTTATGCTTGTCCTCATTAAGGGACAGATGCATGACGGAAACTTCTGCTGGATGCGTTTACACGGAAATAAAAGTTTTTGCACGGCAACTTTTCTCACTCTGTGAACTTGTTCCAAGCGCTGATGCAGAATGTGTGATGAATGCGTTTGAACATATGCTTTTGTAATTAGTACTCCGGATTCAGAGTGCATATTTACTGAGTTAATCCAAATAATCTGTGTGATTTTAAATACTTTCTCTTAAGTTTTGAAGACCTTCATTTTGGTTCCATTCCATGTTGTATTTATGTTAAATAAGTTAAATCACATAAATATTAATGTTTTGTCAAACTTAGACCTACTACTGACTGTAGTCTTTAGCCTCTGGCCAAAAAATCCTCAGATGACGCAAAATGAAATTTTTGCGTCATCGCAGGATTTTTTCCAGACAAAAAAAATGCATAAATCTCTCGTCTCAGGGGAATATGAGGGTGGAAAGCGTCATTCGAAAATACTACAGGTTTCCTACAAGATCCTGAAGTATCCCTTTAAAGGGTTAGTTCACCCAAAAATGAAAATTCTGTCAGTATTTACTCACCCTCATGTTGTTCCAACCCCGTAAGACCTTCGTTCATCTTCGCAACACAAATTAAGATATTTAAGATATTAAGATCGCTCTTGCATACAGTCCATAGGCTTCTAGAGGTACTGGCTCTTGCTGTCCCCGAAAAGTCATTAAAGACATCGTTAAAATAGTCCAAGTGACTACAGGGGTTCAATCTTAAGTTTATCAAACGACGAGAACACTTTTGTGCGCAAAAAAACAACAAAAATAACGACTTTATTTCAACTATCCACTTCCTTCTCCATGAGCCTGTAAGTCAGTTAACGTAGTGTGATTGCGTAAAGCTACGTCACACGTAGGCTCACTATTGGCCGACGCTGGTCATGTGTGTGTGATGCGTGTGACGTACAATAACAGAAGCTTACGCTATTAAACTAGTAACCTGACTCGCGCAGAGGGAGAAATAAACGAACAGTTGAAATAAAGTCGTTATTTTTGTTGTTTTTTTGCGCACAAAAGTGTTCTCGTCGTTTGATAAACTTAAGATTGAACCCCTGTAGTCACTTGGACTATTTTAACGATGTCTTTAATGACTTTTCGAGGACAGCAAGAGCCAGTCCCTCAAGAAGCCTATGGACTGTATGCAGGAGCGATCTTAATATCTTAAATATCTTAATTTGTGTTCCGAAGATGAACGAAGGTCTTACGGGGTTGGAACAACATGAGGGTGAGTAAATACTGACAGAATTTTCATTTTTGGGTGAACTAACCCTTTAAGCTGTTATCAACATTGATAATATTCAGAAATGTTTCTTAAGCAGCAAATCATCATATTAGAGTGATTTCTGAGGGATCATGTGACACTGAAGACTGGAGTAGTGTTGCTGAAAATTCAGCTTTGGTCACAGGAATAAATGTGACAATTGTAAGTTATTGTGAAACAGTGAGTCACAGGTCTCTCACAATGAGATCTCAGTGATCTGAAGTTTAAATGTCTGAACTCTCATTCCTCCTTTTACAAATCCTACAGTCCAATCACGTGTGCGTCTGTGACCGCGAAATACACATCCATCCCCCGTATATTCAATCTCTGAATGCTGGGTCTGGCACTCTTTCTCTCACTTTATCCTTTCTTTCTCTAATAAAAAAACGCAGGCTATTGCAATAGTGCATTGGGAGATTTGTTAATTCTTTGTGCTCTTTGTGTTTTGGCCTAATGAAGACTAATGAATATCTAAAACCTCTGTGGTGCAGGAGGAGAGACTTGAATAATAAGAGATGAAACTATACAAATCACGATGCAGAAACGACCTGTGGAGAATAAACCACCGGCTGAGAGACTCCAGCTTTGGGACACTAGCACTCGCTCTGCATACACACACAGATGTGCAGGGAGATTCTGTATCCCAGAATGCAAAGGGGAAAACTTGACCTTGGAAATGGCATACTGTAAAAACGTGAAATATACATTATGCAATAAACAGTAAGCATGCTATACATTATCGACCTCATTTGACGAGTGCAATCTAGTTATCAACTTAGATATAAAAAATATCCATTATAATTTTTAATGCAACACTGTGTAAAAAAAACTATTAGGAATGGAAAGTCGAGTCAAGTGCATTGCATTGTGGGATATCCATTGTGTCATCCATTCCAGGGTTTAACTAAAACCATAAAAAAAAAATCATTTTCATTACTTAAAATAAACTTTAACTGATATAAAATAAAAAATAAATACAATCTCACTTTCATTTAACTAGCTTAACTGAAACGAAAACTAAGAAAAACTACATAGAAATACAGTAGTGGCCAAGAGTAATGTCCAGCCTAGGCAAAATTAAATTTTCAGCCTTTATTTAAAAATTTGTTAAAGATTTTGCATAGTTGTACTTGGAATTTTGCTTCCTTCAATTTTTAAGTACAATCAACTTTGATGTTTAAGTCATTTCAACTTAAATAATATTAAAATTGACTAACTTTTTTGTTGAATCCTGT